CCCGGCGCCTTGGGCCGAGAGGAGGTTCCAGCCCGGGCACCGACCCGGGCTCCAACCGGCGTTTCCCTCCGCTTCCCATTCAGTACAGTGGCAGCGTTGGCCCTGCTCGAGAGTTGGACGTGAAGTGATTTGGGAAGCCCAGTCAGCTAGAGGAGAACGCCTGCAGAGGTGGTCTCCTTTGGACGGGTTGGTTTTGCTTTCAAGGATGAAAGCTGGAGTTTTGCGTGGGGTGTGGGAACTAAAAGTATGACTGGGGAACCCTAATCCTGCTTTGGCAGGGTGACCGGAGTTGGGTGGACAAACTGCTGAAACAGATGGGCGATGTCAGCCACCTTTTTTTTTTTTTTTTAACCTGAAACAAAGCATGAATGTAATTTTTACCGTGTTTATTAATTCAGGTAGTTCTGCCTCAGAGTGGAGGTAGAATTTAGTTGGGTAGAATTCAGTTAGCTTAGTTCACGTGTTATTCTCGTGTATGCCCTTGATTTAGAACTTATTTAGATAACATATAACATCTATGCTATCCCTACAAAACATCAAAATAACTAAAATGAGAGTGTGCAGCAACAGTCAAACATCTGATTATGATTGCGTATAAAATAGCATACAAGTAAACTATAAACTCCGTTTACCGCTTCTTTATCAGGTGGACATATTGTTATCCTTTCATAACTTGTATATTTGTGATTGCTGCTTTTGCTCCAAATGATTATTTTAGTACATAAAATTCAGATTTTTCTATATGTTATGTTAGTGCGTTAAATGCTCAATATTAGTGATAGTTCAGAACGGAGCTGTGTGGAATTTCAGTTTATAGAAGTCTTAATGGATGCAGCAATGATTTTTTTTTTTTTTCCTGTTTAACATAATGGAAATTATAAATAACTTTTTAAAATAAGATTTGCAGATTTATAGAAATACTGATTGCATTAAACCGATGAAGTTTGGTTCAGAATCCAAATAAATTCATTGCAAGCACACACAGGCCGTGCTTTGTTGTGTTTCAAAATCCTTGATGTTCAGTAGTATTGTATGGTTTAGCTCTAATACATTTGAACCCTCTAATGATTTAGCGTGGAAACAGGAGCCTCATCTAGTGGAAAGAATTTTTTACAAACAATGTTTATTCACTTAATTATTTTTTTTCCTTTTTGGCCCCTCCCTCTTTCTTTTTGTTTCTATTCCTCATGCTTTTTCAGCACAAAAGAACTCAGCCTCACTTTCCCGAGTCTAAAATCGGAGTAGTGGTTCTTTCCTATGAGGTGTCGAAAAGATGAAAACATACCAACTGTGAAATATTTCAGTGTCGTGGCAGTGAGAATGATAAAGTGCAGTTAATTCAATTTTATTTGGAAGAACTTCTGACAATAGAAAGAAAATGGCAGCTCCCAGGTAATATGGGAATGACTGTTGACGCTGGGCAGCATTGCTGCAGCGATACCAGAGATGTTCCTGGTGACCGCAGGGTATTTCTCTGTCATCTGGGAGGCTTAGGAGTTTGGATGTAATTCCTAGCAGCAGCTGGGGACACGTATTCACGCTGTAGCGCATGTAAGCTAATGAATTTTCAAAGCTCTAGGGAGCGGTGCGGTGTCTTTGCTGGGGTCAGCGTAGGTCTGATGTGGCCAAACGCAGCGCGCGCAGCTGGGCCAGGCTGTGCCTGGCTGGAGCCAGCGGCTGGGTCTTCATCTTCGCCCCTGTCCCAGGAGCGAGAGCGCGGGCAGCACCAGAAGCAGTTGTGCTTTTGTACTTTGTTGGAACAGAGCTCGTTCGTTCCAGCTTGTTACCGCACACACGTGGCTCTGTTGTTAGTTTAATGCTGTCTCAAAAACCTTCTAAGGCTGAGGCCTTGAGCTGCCTCTGTGGCCCATAGCGGAGATCTGACAGTTTATCCAAAGTGCATGTGTGTACCGCGATAAAAACCCTTAGTTGTATGATAGGAGAGGAAGTACATCAGTATTTAACCCAGGAGATGTCTCTGTGTTTTTCTTACTAGTCTTCGTCATTTATAAGGCATTTCTTCTTTAATTGCACAATGTAATTTCCTACCTAATCCTGCCCTGCAGTTAAAATGCTAACTTTAGCAAAATTATTAAGATAATTTCTATGAAGAGGTACTTCATTGTCTCACAAAGATGAATCTGGATTGAGAAATGCATTCTTACACAAGTACCCGCTGGATAATGATGCTCCCGACAGCCTCTTGTAATCCTTGCTCCGTTTTTACTCAACAAGAACAGGTATTTGGCGTATGTCTTTGAATGAGAATGATTTGATGAAACCCATCAATAAAAGAAAAAAAAAAAGCTTTGATACCTTTTTTTCTGTGAAGTTGTCAAGACTCGGATGGCAAGAGATGCTTCCTCTCTCATACAAAAGGTGACTCTGTGGCTTGTGGCAAAATGCTGTTTGGCATTTCTTTTGATGAGTTGGAAAGGCAGGCCGTGCAGACACCCTTCCTGAGTCAGACTCTTGGTGATTTGCCTTGACTAAGGATTTAATTGTAGCTGTGCCGATTTCATAACTATTTTAGTGAAGTGTTATATGCAGTTCTTTTGTTTTGAAGGACAAAATAATAATAATGCAATGTTGTATTTAATACACTGTGAGATACATATTTCTGCTGTTACTTCAAATATTGGTTGTATGTTTGAAATAGATATTACTCCTCCTTCAGAATAACTGTGATTGGATTAAAACACATGTAGTGCCTTCCTTATAGCTGTTGTTGCACTTAAGTACGCTTTTCTTCCATTAAGCTGCTGTAATGAATAAGTATGAAAAATAAGGTTGCACCCATGAGTTAAAAAAATCAAGAACGGTTGAGTAAGTTTAGAGAAGAAAATGTAAAATTGTCCATGTTATTAAATGTTTGCTCCCTTAAGTAGAACAGAACTATAACTGGATAGCTCTGCTGTCTTCAGAAATGTACTCCATTTTCTATCGCCTGAAGCATAGCTTTAAAATATGAATATAGAACATCATTCTGGTGTTATGATCTGATCAACTGAGAGAAGCTGAGAGGAGTAATTACTGAATCTGTATGAAGCTGACTTCTGTTATTTCAAGTAACAGTTGGCTGAAAGCCAACCAGCCTAGTGGAATGGGGCATTGCCTTTCATTTTCTATAAAATTATAGTGATGCCTTTAAAAGAAGATTTATAATAATGTTTTTAATGTTTGGGTTTTTTTTAAACAGAGAAGTCTTACATTAGAAAAATAGGAATTACAAGTTTTACTGTGCAACTTCCACTCTGGTTTTGAGGCAAAGAGGGCATTTGACTTTATGCTAAGAAAAGTGGTTATGAAAAACTGTTTAGTTGCTGTGAGTTTAAACTCAAATTTAATTCTAAAGCATCTGATTCATGGTACGCTTAATATAATTCATGAGAGAAGAGTGAAGGCTAAGAACGCGTTAGTGCATTAGAAATTTTGGTAATTTGGTACCGAAAAGAGCATGACATGTAGGTGACATCTGTGTAGAGAGTACCTGGGTTTTTTCACTTCTTGCATGGTTTGTTAACCTACTGTGTATCAAGTTACTAGTTGTGGAAAGTGTTTAGACTGGGAATAATAGTTGTTTTGACATGTACAATTGGAAAGGGATTTTACAGAGGCAAAGAAACTTTGACTAGACTGTGTTTCTAAGATGAGGTGAAGAGAGTGCTACTTTGCATTACAGTATCATTGTTATGCTGAAATTGCAGACTACGATAACCTGTGTTTATTATGAAATCACTGTGTACAGTTTGCTAATAACTTAATTGGTTTGGAGGTAAGTGTTATCGGATTATATTTTTGAAAATGGCACATTGACATTTGTCATCGTTTTGTTTCAGCTAAGAAAATTTTCTTGAATTGGATTTTGTTTTGTAGCAGTGAAGATAATTAGCCTGCTTTACTTGGATCTATGTTTGCATAGAAGAAACCACGCTTATGGCTGTTTAGAGTAAGAAATGGTTTAGTATGCTAACTCAATTTAGCACCTCAAAACAGTGTGACATCTCCCAGTCTTGCATCATTGCTGCTCAAATTGTATGGTTAAAACTGGAGAAGTTTTGTATATCATGAATAAAAGTTAAATAAGACTTTTCACTATGATGGCAAAATAGTAAAACTTTAGTTTTATAAGTGAATTGGGTTTGTCTAAGGTGGGACATAGTGAGATGTTTGTTTTTAGAGGCTTCTTTGCTGTCAGATGTGTTTGAAAAACAGAGGTGGTAGCAGACATTTGAAAGCGTCCAAAGCTGTGTCTGTTTGGATGTGACACAGAAGTTCCACTTTCATCTTTCTCAGCCTCTTGATGGTTATTTTATGTGCTATCTTTAGTGGTTAAATTGTAAGACCTGCAGATGCAGCAGGAGATTAGAAGGGTTTCCTTACAACAGGTGTCATATTAGAAGTTGATTAGGGAGAATTTAAAAATAAAGGCAAGCAAAATGCATATTAAAGTAAACAAAATAGGATGAGTTAAGAGAGAGGTAAGGAAAGAGAAAGGAATCAAATTCCAAAGATCTGCAAGTTGGAAATTTTGTGGGGTTTATTTCCAAACCTCATGAATTAAAAAAAAAAAAAAAAAAAAAAAAGACAGGAAGGTAATGGGCTTAGCCTGGGTAGAGTGGCCTCTCACATGCGAAGGCGATTGCCTTTTTGCTGTTCATAGCTCAGAGGTTCAGAGCCATATGCACTTGAATAACAGCAAAATAATCTCAACCTTTAGGAGGTTGCTGTAGTCTGACAACCTGTGTGCACAGTAAGAAGTGGATGGTGCGGAGCTTTACTTAAGTAGAGGTGGTAAATCATCAGGGATGTAGAGGTTAAAGTAAATTATGGAGCTCACATTTATGAAAACTTTTTTTTTTTAAGTAAGGCCGACATGGCCAAGGAATGAGTTGTTAGTCAGAGTAGCTGTGTGTATAGAGTTTTTTAATGCCTAACAGTACAATCTCTGAAATTAACTCAGCTATCTAGAAGGTTGCTGCTTACACAGTAGTAGTTTGTACCTTTCCTTATGGTCTTAGCAGGGGAAAAGTAAAAAATAAAAACACGACAGCTGAATAATAAACAAGTGCATTAGCTCAGATGTTGTAGTACATTAGAATGGGCTCTGGCTTCTAGTTTGGAACATGTTGATGCTTGGCCAGTCTGCTATAGGCTGAAGAGTGTTGTCTGCAGTAATCTACGCAGCCTAATCAATGTATTTCACTGAATTAATATTTAAACTTAATAGTTGAAAATACGACTTGAAAGCAAGTCTTGTCCAGCTTTTTTGGGGGGGGCATTTTTTGGTAGACACACTCACAAAGTTGTCTTTTTTTACTGGGGAAACTAGCTGTGTCTAGTAAAATAGTGTAATCTGATCACAGTTTTTAAACCTGTAAACTTTTCTGGCTTTACCACACCACCACAAATACAGTTAAGAATGTTGGCTATATATGTTTTATATATATAGTTATATGTCCATATATATATGCATTATTGATGGACTATGCAGAGCTTCTCAACTCCAAGTTCTTGTGCTAAAACAGGTGAGGTTGTTCTGAACTGAAAATTGCTGTTGTTGCCTGGCTTGTTTCTGATGCTGTTAAGTGAAGTACCCTTGAGGCTGTTTTCTTGAGGATGTGTGTTGGTTAAGTAGTAATTGACAGAATGCTTTAACTGGCATTTGAATTACATGGGATAAAACTTCTCTAGTCTTGGAGTGAATACTTTGATTTCTGAGCTAAGGCCTGTTAGTGCTTAGAGTTTGTTTGTATCTTTGTAGGACAAGAACATTCTTTGTCCTAGAGTTGTTCTGTGGATAAATTGAGAACTGATGGTTTGAATCCAATCTGGGACCTTGAAGGCAGATAAGAGTATGCTGTTGATATTATATTTAAAGTACCTGATTGCTACTAAATTGAGGTTTTTTTCCTTTTTTTCTTTTTTGCAGGCTGGAGCTCTTGATTTATTGAAGGAGCTTAAGAATATTCCCATGACCCTTGAGTTGTTACAGGTATGATTTTCTTATTGTTGTTATGTTGCAAATATTAACTCCATAACGATGAAGGTGAAGCCAGCAAATTTGGAGGGAGGTTGCACTATTAAAGTAGATTCCTATGTAGAAACTCCTTGGAAGAATCAGTGTTGTTATAGGGTAACTAGTCTTATTTCACCGTGATTTAGGGCACTTATCTTGTGCCCTAAAGTGCTGGAAGTGTTTTCTTCCAGTAGCAAGCTCTTAAAGCTTATCTTTCTGTTTAAGTTGAAAATAGTGGATTTTGTCATGGACAAAGAGGAAGAGCTGCTTATAAACTTACCTTACGTATAATCTTAGGTTCTTATTAACACAAATGTGATGTATTTCCTTCCTTCTGAAGGAGAATGCACCCAATTACAGCTGATAGCTTCTTTTCTTATGTAGTTAGTTCTGGTTTTGGATTGTAAGTGAGGAGAAGCATAGTTCATACCTTCAGGCAAGTTGTATTTGACCATTTCCTTCCCCCTGCCCCCAAACTCTTGAGTAGTGTATATCTTAAGGTAATTATGCTACTATTACTACTCCCCTTTCACTCCCCTGGGCAGGAGTGATGGTGTGGTACAATCTCTCTCACTTGCATGCATACTCTCTCTAATTTTGCTTATACCTACATCTCTAAGATAGTATTTTATATATTATTTATAAATTCTTTCAAAAAGTAACTCAGTGAACTTTATTTGCATGTCAGGTTTCAGAGTTTGTCATGTAATTTATCAATGAACAACTTTTGTTCCAAAGTAACTAGATATTTCCTATCTCTGTGAAAATTTTCAAATGGCAGAGGTAAATGTAAGACCTGATTTGCTGTGGTAGCCACGTAAATTGGAAAAGACTGAAAAGTAGCTTTTTTTCTAAGTGACAATTAATGGTCACAGATACAGAATTAGCTATAAAGTTCAAATCTTAAGTGCCAGTAGCAATGTCTTTCTTGACATATGCACCCTGTATATTTGCAGAATGTACTTAGTACGTTATTAATAATACCGTTTGTGACAGAAAATAGGAATTTGAAAGTGTCACCTTCACGCATGAATGAGCACAGCTGATATGATGCTGCAACCTTCTCCCCTATGTCCAAACTCCTTCCTTAGAAAAAAACAAAACCATCGAAAAAAAAACCCTCAAGCCCCACACAAAACAACAACAAAACCCAGAAAAAACATCTGTTAACCTGATTCTTTTGAGTTTCCTTGTGCAGGTCTTAATACAAAGTATTTATGTAGTAATGTTTTTTGCCTTTGGAATGAAAAATCTCTCTGCAAGTGCTCCACAAACTCTGTAAATGCTGCTATGCAAACCTGTTCAGCTTAGTGTGAAGAATGAGACTAGAAGGGGAAGCTTTATACAGAACAGCAGAACAATTTTGCCCTTGAACTGTGAGGATCTGAAGAGTGTACAAGTAGATAACTTATTCTTTTTTTAGTTGCAATGAAAACCTCAGTAATGTTATCAACAGAGGAGGACTCAATCTTGCTAAGTACAAACAAACTCAACTGTCTGCCTTTTAGGGCACTTGTGTGACCCTGACTTAATTTATATAGGGTTGCATATTAATTCTGTCCAGTTTTTTATCCTACTTGAAAGAAGCTTATTTATTCCCATCCATATGACAGGTACCTGTTTTTAGAGTGAAATAATATTTGCAGTAAAAGGTTGTTTTTAATCTGTATTGTGGTGGGCGCCATATGAGTTTGTAAAGAAGATTTCTCTGTGTTACAGTAGGTCTAAAGGGATCAGGTGTTTTAATATACTCTTGTGTAGTAGATTGACTGTAGCTTAGATAAGAAGTTTTTCTTAAGTATCCACTGCTGTATTCAAAACAGTTCCACTGCATAAGACTGCATTTAGCAACATGTTTAGACTCAAATTTACATTATTTTTGTTGAGAGTCATACAAATATACAAAACCTGCTGTAAATTCTCTATGTTAGTCTCCCAAATTTGCTTAAGCAATGGAAGACTCAGAGCAACAGTTGAAATGCTAAGTAATCATAAGCATGGCTCTGGTAGTGGATCATTAGTGTGCTAATGTCAAGAAGGGTGATGATCATGAGAAAGTGGGAGCACTAACTTCCTCTATGGAGATTGAGATATCTATTGATGTGTTTGAACTGATGAAATGCAAGACACAAGTGAAAAGCATGCTTCCACACCTGTTTTCAAGCAGTTTTGAAAGCTGGCTACATTGAGAAAAGCACTGCTAGCTGATATGGTAGTTTCATTATTCCTGTGTAATAAGAGAAGTGACAATTTTCCTGTAACATGACTCTTGCTTCAGTCTGAGCTGGCGAGGTCCTCTGAACAATTTACAGGTATGTGGAATAGGAAGGTGCACATCAGTAGTCTGGACTTGTGCTTGTGTGTCTTGTCTTTCTTGCCTGATGTTTGTCACAGAGAGCTGAAGTGGTTACAGACAATAATATGACTGTGTCATATCTAATGAGTTTATGTAAGCAAGCTGATCCTTGATCAGCTAGGCAGGGAGCCAGTAGCCTTCCTCACATGTGATTTATCCGGTGGTCAGAATTGCAAATCTGTTCAGCAGCCGCACAGTATTAAAGGCGTCGGGTGCTAATTGTGGGTAGTGGCAGCTAACCAGTGAGACAGACAGTCTTTATTTTAACAAACAGGTTTTACTGGAAATTACACACGTGTATGCAGAACTAGGCTGGGATGTATGGTCCTTGTTAATGGCTTCTTGCCAGTTCATTGGCGAGCTGGGGAGACCTGGGAACCTGGAGGTGGTTATTCTTCAGGGGTTTGATTTGGCTCTGCTTTGGTCCAGGTGCTCACCAATTCTCTGTCCTCATACTCTCTTACAATTTAAAGTTGACAACACCTCTGCTTGCTTCAGTGGTTGCTTTTCTTCCCCAACTATGTGCCTTACATTTTCTCATTTGGTCTGGTTTAGAGAAGAGTAGCTGCCACCGTATGCTTTGTTTTGGGTTCAGTCATAGATTACTTATGCTAACTGTTGCTCCTACCGGCTGAAGGCTGCTTGGCCTACAGCTTGAATGCTTCAGGAGTGAAAACAGCTGTCTTACGCTGTCTCTGAGCCTCTTTACTCTCAGAAAGCAGATGAAGAGTGCTCTAGAATTTGAAGTGGGGAAGAGTGATCCATTAAAAATGCATTTTGGACAAGGTGAGGAAGGTTTTAATATACCTGCACACTTATAAACTGGCGCAGAGATAAAGCATTTCCACAGGTTACACTGGGCTAGGCAAAAATACTGGAGTTTTCCACTTAAAATGGCTCTCACAAGAACAGCTCTGTAGGCTGGAAGACTGAGGAAATTTCAAATGCTGACAGCTGGTTTGTCATTAAAGCAGAGTCATTTTGAGAATATAACATTGATCTGTTGTGATTACCTGTGTCAGTTTGCAGGCAAATAAATTGGTAGATCATTCCTTCCCCGCTCTTTAGGAGAGGCCAGATCAAGTGCTCTATAAAAGCAAACAAATGAACTATCTATGTACTGCCTTAAGAAAGCTGGCAGTTTACACAGTTACCATAATCTGTTTCTCTTGTGTGATCAGAGGAAGAAATTAATTTATCCAATTAATTTTGAGTTTTACTTGAGTTTTACTTACCTAAGTAAGTCTGTAAGTTGGTGTCTTTCCTTTTTGCTGATGAGAGTAGGCCGTGGTTGTGCCCAGTTATCAGTGGAGGGTTATTTTTTTTTTTTTGTAGATACACTTTTCTCATTCAGGTATGATGAGTATTTTATGGAGTTCCAAGCACATGTTATTCTTTATTGTCTGAACATAATGTCCAGAGTATGTGTTTAACATGTCAAGAGAGTTGGCCAGTCCTGTTAGTCTGAGTGGGCAGAGTCCATCTTGAAACACTTTAATTACAGGTGAGTAACCATCTGTTTTCTTTAATTCAAAATATGCGTTTAGCGCTGATGCTCAGACCTGAGGTTATTTGGTGTGATTCCTTTGCTGAAATAGCTACTGAGTATTTCAGTACATTTCCAGTCATTTAGCACATCCATGGTGCCCCAAAAAGTGTTGTGTGGGTTCTAAGGAGTAATTTACAGGAACAAATCATTTCCATTTTTAGTGAGATTTAAATTTTCCTTTAAAGGAGAAGTAAATTTATGATGAACTACTGCAAAAGTAGGTAGAATAATTTCTATTTAGTGAGTCCTGTAAAAAGTAAATGCAACAAAACTGAGCCTCTTAAGAACAATTTTAAAAATTTAGTCATCAATCAAAATATGAAATGATAATAAAATACTTAGTTGTATTGTTAAACACTTTTCTCGTCTCATGAAACTGAAAGTGTGGAAATGTTCTACTTGTTAGATTAACACGTTAGTCAGAAGTCTTCTAAAATGAAACTCTTGTTGCTGTTGAGCTAAATTTATGTCCTCATCTTCTGAGTCTTAAAAGGAGTGGATTGTAAATTAGTCTCCTCTTCACTCTATAGGTGGCAGTAGTGCCAAAGGTTTAAAGCCTGTCACTATCTTGGCCTTTTCAGGGGGATAGGCTGGTCTTACTGTTTCTATCTAAAAGCAGAACCCTCTGTGCTTAAGATTTTAAAGAATTTCAGTATTGCCAAAATTATTAGGAATCTAAAATGTGGTTGCTCCAGACTGATACTACAGCTTCTTCTACAGTCGCTAAACGGGATTTCTAAGAGTATGAAGTCACTGAAGCAGTTGACAAGCTTTTGATCATGCCAAAATATAAATATGGTCATTGCTTCACCGAAAAATAAGGTTCTGGGGCTAGAACCTTTGCTAAAAATTTTATATAACATTAAGATGTAGATACGATTTTCACATGGTTAGATGTTTTGAATGTCATACTTAGTTCAGGTAAGTAGTTCTGCAGAGCTTTTTGAAATGGTTTGGGAGCAAAAATCTTCTGATTGACTCCCCTTAACCCTTCTGCCCCCCAGCCCTGCCCAAAACTTCTCTGGTGGAAACAAATGGTAATACAGTTGTATTTCTTTTTAAAATGTCCATGTTGTTAAAATAAGTTTTATAAAGGCTTGCAGCATTTAATCCTGGTATTCTTAAAAAAAAAAACCCCAATAAACCAAAAACGAAGAAAAAAAGATACTTTTAAAAAATTATGTCAAAGTACAACTTTATATATGTTTATTTGTTAAATTATCTTCATGTCACCTTTTATAGCGTATATTTTTATTTCTTTGCAGTCTACCAGAATTGGAATGTCAGTGAATGCGATACGCAAGCAAAGCACAGATGAAGAAGTTACATCTTTAGCAAAATCTCTTATCAAGTCTTGGAAGAAACTGTTAGGTATGGTGACACAAACTTTTTTTCCCCTGCTCTTGCATGTTTTAACTGTATGCAGTCTTGATGCAAATCCTTTGACACTGCCTTGCTTTAGATATATTTGTGCTGTTGTGTAAGTATTGAAACTTTCTGCACTGATGTACTTGTTTTTTACTCTTTGACTATCACCAGCGTGTTACTGTGCAAGCGTATTCAGAGAAAAAGTTAATACATTTTTACTGGGGCTGGCAAGCAGTAGGAAGTCAGCTTCTGTGACATGACTCATTTCTGAAGTCTCGTTGCCTGCTGTTGAGCTAGAGTGACTGTACTGAGTACTAAGCACTAATGAACCTGTTCTTGACTATTTCCTTTGTCAAATGTAACAGGTGCCCTGAAGAACTTGTGCAAAATCTCATATGAGGGTGTGAAGGCTTTGAAGTTTGGTTATAAAGTGATTTGTGAAGAGAAAAAAACTGGTAAAAATTGACATTAAAAATCTGTTAGAACTTACAGGTAGTGAGAAATAGATCTAAAACCTTCATCATTTTAAACAACTTACTAATTAGCGAGTTAATACTTTTTGTTCCATTTCCCTTAAAGCAATGAACACAGTTAATGAAACCTTTCTGTTAGCAGGGTTTTATTCAAGGGTATTTTGTAGTACTTAATTTGAAAACACTCAAATCTCAAACTGTGTCCAGATTTTTTTGTTCATACACTATGCTGTACTCTATTTTATTTCTTTATATCCAATTTTAGATAAACTAAGATTTAGGAAGCTTAAAATTTTGACATAGAAAACAGTTTACGTCTTTTTCTACTGATTTAAACATTTACCATCCTGTCTAGAAAAATATGCTAAATACCAGGAGTTAGAGTCCCCTGCCATTTGAAGTCAGCCTCATTTTTATCAGTTGTGAAGTATTTTATCAGATACTTTATTACTCTCTTGTAAATGGTGTAGAAATGAGTTTGTATCCATCTGACAGTATATGTGTGTAAAAATGGACAATTTGTGGCAGCTTTCAACTTCTATATTCTAGTAAGAAGCAACAACCTCTAGAGCAGACTTTTTTTTAACCTACCTTTAGAAAGTTAGGTGATACTAATTAGGTTAGTTTTAGTAATTAAATTTAGATAATAGTAGATATCATAGAATAGAATCATAGAATAGTTTGGGTTGGAAGGGATCTCTAAAGGTCATCTAGTCCAACCCCCCTGCCATGGGCAGGGACATCTTCAACTAGATCAGGTTGCTCAGAGCCCCGTCCAACCTGACCTGGAATGTTTCCAGGGATGGGGCATCCACCACCTCTCTGGGCAACCTGTGCCAGTGCTTCACCACCCTCAGC